GTTGTCCTACACACCAGGGAATCACTCAGGGAGGCGCAGCCTAATAACTTCTGTTCTACGCACCATGGAGTCACTCAGAGGAGTCATTGCCTGAGAGCTGCTTCTCTATCCACCATGGAGTCACTCAGATGAGGTACAGCCAGAGAACTGCTATTATATACACCATGGAGTCACTCGGGGAAGCACAGCCTGAGAAGTTCTGTTCTACACACCAGGAAGTCACTCAGGGAGGCGCAGCCTGATAACTGCTGTCCTGTACACCACGGAGTCACTCAGGGTTAGGCGCAGCCTGATAACTGCTGTCCTGTACACCACGGAGTCACTCAGGGTAGGTTTCAGGGGTCTCAGTCCATACACAGCAGGCTCCATTCCTCAGGGCTCCAGGTAAGGCAGAACATCATGGGGGATGAGTGTGGTGGATGAAAGTAGCTCAGGACATAATGATCAGGAGGGAGGGAGAGAGAGAGAGAGAGAGAGAGCGCTCTGCTCAACAAGGACAGAATATAAACCCCATTAGCACACTCCCAGGGACCCCCTTCCACCAGCTACACCCTACCTTCCTACAGTTACCACCTATTTAATCTCTGTAGGGGATTAAACACGATCATTTATATCTAAACTTTCTTGCATGATCTCACATATGAGCTTTGGGGGACATCTCAGGTAAACCCTAACCCCAGTGCTCAGGAAGCCCATGGCTTCTCTGCTGTACAGGGCAGGAGCCATCTATTGCCATGATCCAAGCTGGAGATCCAATGCTGGGTTCACAGAATCCGACTATTCCAATAACTTAAGAAAACAGCAAAGAAAGTGCACAAACACACAGAAGTACCTTTCCAAAGTCCCCTAAGCTCATAAGGGGAGATTCCATGGAACATTCTATCCCAAAAGGGCAAAGGGTTAGGATTGCAAAGGAGCAGGTGAGTGTAACTTAACCTCACCAGGTGACACCCACACCTGGAACCACACCTCATTATTCAAGTGGGGCTAAAAATCCAATGTATTGTGAGGTACAATAACTATGTAGTACCCCTTTACTCAGGACTTAAACATGTGTGCCTAGCTACTGTCCAGAATGGCTCCCAACAGCCATCTGGGGAGGAGACCTCAGCCTTGGGCCCTGCAGCCAGGACATCAGGGCAGACCCTGATGCCCCAGGAAGTACCTCTTTGTGCCTAAGCCTGGTTTTGACCCCATTGCCCAAAGGAAGACTTCAGTGGTGCATAAGCGATTATCATGTAACCTGGAAGGCTTTGCCCCAAATGTTGATTGTGCCAGTAAGAATAACATAAACTAGCCAGGCACTAGTGCCCGCCTGTAATCCCAGTGGCTCGTGAAAATGAGGAAGGAGGATCAAGGCCAGCCTCAGCAACTTAGCAAGACCCTGTCTCAAAATAAAAAGTAACAAGGGCTAGAGATGTGGCTCAGTGGTAGAGTACCCCTCAGTTTAATCCCTGGTAGTAAAATTGAGAGTCACACAAACTAGAGAAGATGGCATTCCACAGAAAATGAGAAGCCGAGTCTTGAAAGGGTGGCAGACAGCAGTCACAGCCGGAGGGCCACTGAATCCCAGAACCACTGGGCACCTACCCCATCTGCTGCCTTCTTCCATCTCTCCATAGCTCTCTCTGGATGTTGATCCAGGTCTAGACTGTATAAATGTGGCAAGAAATTAAATTAATGGGGTTCATATCCAAACTTTCCTGTTTAAAACCCTTGGGTGGCATTCAGGTCAGGTGCTCGAGGAAAGCGTAGTTTTAGGGCCATGTTTTCAGTGTGGAAACCATGTCCTTCCCAAGGTTCCAACAACACCGCTATGAGCCCATATTCGACTACCCCACAATCGCCAGCATGTATGTTTTGCTGGACCTGCCTTTGTTTCTCCTCTGTGTGTGCATGTAAGTCGCTCAGCCTGGACATCTGCAGCCCGGTCTTTTTTTTCTTTTAAAAGTTTTTTTTGGGGGGTACCAAGGATTGGACCCAGGGATTCCCTATCACTGAGTTAAACCCCATGCCCTTTCTATGCTTTATTTTGAGAGAGGGTCTCACTAAGTTGCTGAGGCTGGCCTCCCACCTGCAATTCTCCTGCCTCAGCCTCTGAGTCACTGGGATGACAGGCATGGATGACAGACATCTCACCAAGAAGACAGATGGCAAGTAAGCACAGAAAAGGACGCTGAACCTCATGTAGCCTTATGGCATTTCACATTAAGCTAATGTGCCACCACTAACCCCTCCCAGAGTGCCTCCACCCAAAACTCCTGACAAGGCCAGTGAAGATCCTTCATGGTGGTGTCAGTTCAACATGGTGTGCACTGTGGAAGTCAGTTGGGAGCTTCTCACAAAACTGGACGTAATCTTACTGTGGAATCCAGCAACTGTCCATTTGGTATTTATTTAAGTGACCTGAAAAGTTATGTCCACCAAAAACTCAGACATGGGTTTCCATAATTGAAAATAATTCATAATTTACCAGCATCATTCATAATTGCCTAAACTTGTTAACAAACAATATGTCCTTCCGTTGGTAAATGAGAAAATGAGCTAGAGTACAGCCAGATGATCAAAAAGCTAACAGCTAGATGTGGCTGAAAGTGCCCATAACCCTAGCTACTTGGGAGGAGCCCAGGCTGGGCAATAGAGTGAGACACTGTCTAAATACAACAACAACAACAACAAACGCTCACAACTTTCCAAGGCTGAGGGCAAGGGTTTCAGGAGATCGTACTGAGGTATCTACAGTGTGACTGCTGTGCCAAAATCGCTCATGAATTAGGATACAGCAGTAAAGAAAACTATGACCTTTGGAGCTAACACTTTATTTTCTGGGGACTGAACCCAGGAGTGCTTAACTACTAGGCCACATCCTCTGTCTTTTTCAATTTTTGTTTTGAGACACGGTCCCCCTATGTTGCTTAGGGCCTTGCTAAGTTGCTGAGGCTGGCTTTGAACTTGCAATCTCCTGCCTTGGCCTCTGAGGATGCTTCCCAGGAGGCATGTGCCACCATGCCTGGCTTGAAAATCTTGACTTTTCACTAGTGCTTATTTTCTTGCAAAATAAGCGCTGGTAATGTCAGTTTCTGTGTGCTGGTAAAAGTTACCTTAAGGTAACTACAGTACAATATGTGGGTTTACTAGCATAGCTGCTTGCTTCATCAAGTCTACAGGGAGACAGAATTAGCAAGATGAGAGTCCTCTCTTAATTGACACATCCATATACACATAATCATATGCATTCCAGTATTTTTTTTTTTGCATTCCAGTATTTTGGCATAGTTTATATGCTCAGAACTGAGTCACAAGTTAGACCCACACTCAAGAGCTTGAACACCCAGAGGCAGAGATTATGAGATCCATACTGGCTTTCCTCCTGTGCACTTATCACAGTTTTCAGAGGCTCACTTGAGGTGCTGCAAGAATAAACTCCACATGGGTGAGGAGGGAAGCAGAAAAAACAGGAAGCTACTTGCTTTGGTTTAGATATGAGGTGTCCATCAAAAGCTCATGTGTAAGACAATGAAAGATCTAGAGGTGAAATGATTGGGTTATGCAAGGGCCAGAGGTGAAGTGATTGGGCTATGCAAGGTTCAGAGGTGAAATGATTCAGCTGAGACCTGAACCTAACCGTTTAATTAATCCCCGATGGGCAGGTAAGGGTGTGGCTGGAGGTGAGTCTCCGGGCCTTGCCTTTGGGGCTTTTATTTTGTCCTTCCATAGCAACTTCTCTCTGCTTCATGGCATCATGTCCTGTGCCACTTTCCTCCACAACTATTCCCCCATGATGTTCTGCCTCACACTGATCCCCGAGGAATGGAGCTGGCCATCTATGGACGGAGACCTCTGAAACCATGAGCCACAAATAAACTTTTCCTCCTCTAAAATTGTTCTTGTCGGGTCTTTCGACCCAGCAGTAAAAACGCAGGCTATAACACTACTACAGAAGTTCAGAAGAGATCTTGTCAGCCAGAGCAGAATATTAAAGAGCAGTGGAGGTGAAGAACATCTCGTCTCTGCACCCTCCCCAATGTGGAAATAATTCAAAATTATATTTTTAAAAAAAAAAAGTTGTAAGCGCAAGCATGTGTGTGTGCCATTCACCCAAATTCATCAGTCGCTAAGGTTTTTGTCCCATTCGCTGTCACAGCTTCTCAACGCTGTGACAAATGCCTGAGGTGACCAACTTGTAAGGAGAAAAACTTTATTTTGGCTCCCGTTTGGAGGTTGCTGTCCCTGATGTTGACCCATTGCTTTAAGAACTGGGAGGAGGCAGAACACCATGGAGTCAGTTCGTGGTCAGGCAAAGCCCTTCACTCATGGCTGGCACACGGAAAAAAAGAAGAGACTGGGGTCCCACGATCCCCTAGGTGGCACCCTTCCAGCGACAAACGGCCTGCGAGGGACCCACCGCTGTGAGACGGTCCGAGCCTACACCTGTGGGACGGTTCCACCGCCGCCCAGCGGTGGCACCTGAGCCTTCCCAGACCCTCGGATGGAAGGGACGAGTCTCCAGGTCGCTGCAGAGCGGGCGCAGCCTCTACGCTGGCCCTGCAGACCAGGGACGCCTGGCCTCCCGCCCCGTCTCCCGGCGGGTGCCCGGTCCACCTCAGGCATGCAGGGAGTCCCGGCCCCCAGCGGCGCAGCAGGGTAAACTACGGTACCCAGAAGGCTGTGCTCCGCGCGAGCGCAGGCGCCGGGCCAATCACGGCCCGCGACCGGCGCCTCCCGGAAGGCCGTGCCGGGGCGGGACTTCCGGGTGGTGGCCGTCGCGCCATTGGTCTCAGCCTCCGAGGCCTGGGGGGTCCGGAGTTCCGGTCTTGTCCTGCGGACGCGGCGCCACAGGCACCGTCCCTCGGCCGGTCCGCCTGCGGCGTGAGTCCTGGCCGCCCGCGGGCCTCGCCTCGCCCGTCCTCAGCACCGGGGCGGTCACAGGGTCGCCGGGCCGGCGCGCCGTTCCCGGGAGCTGCCCGGCCGCCGGGTCCTGAGCGCGCCGTGGGCCCGCGATGGCCGCGCGGGTGAGTGCAAGCGGCCCCACGGTGCGGCTCCGGAGGAGGGCGGGCTCGGACACGGCGGTGAGCACCGGCCTCCTGGCTCCGGTCGCCTGGGCCGGGCGAGGGGAGGGCGTCCGCGGAGAGGAGACGTGCCCCGCCCGAGAGCAGCCCGAGGTCGGAGGGCCGGTGGCCCTTTGCCCCGTGCGCCCGGGTCCTGAAGTCCCTGCTCTGGGGCAGGGCCGTCGGCGTCTAGCAGGGGGAAAGGTGCTCGGTAACCGGCGTGTCCCTGGCGTCTGACAGGCCCAGAGCGCCCAGGGACGTGGAAGCCGGCCTCGGCCCTGTCTCCAGGTGGATGCCAACGCTCCCGGTGCTGTCTGGTGAGGGCGGAAGGCTCTGCCTCCTCGGTCCACGTGTGCGTTAACTGTTTCACAGAATGACTTAAACATACTTAGGATCAGTAACGGGTGGACGTGCTGCACAACCGCAGCGCATTAGAGTCGCTCTGACCTGAAGACCTGTCAGGGTTCCACGCCCAACTTGGACCAGAGTCACCTGTTGTATTCTGCCTCTGGTGGTAAGATGTGTGAATTGGTGAAGCTTCTTAAGCCCCAGGTCACTTACTGTGATATTAAGGTTGATGAGAGGAGGTGAGGCACTGTGGAAGGATGAGAAAATCCCCTCCCAAAACACTAAACAGTGGAGAATTTGTCTTAAAGTCTCACAACAGTTACTGGTCAAGTGGGATCTGTTTTCCTGATCTAAAAATGTAGGCTCAGAAAGGATAGAAGTCTCTTAAGCAGAAAAAATAGGAAGTGACAGTTTTGATGTTTGGATTCAGACTCTATGGATCTGACTTTGAGCTGGAGATGGGCAGTCATTTGAACACTGAATGTTCTCAGCCTGGGGCAGCACCTGCCTGCACCAGGAAGATGCAGATTGCACTGGTGGGGTCATTATCATTGTTTCCTCGCTCCTCTGATGTCCTAGAGCCCTTCTGTCTACATCTCACAGTGCAGAAGTTGATCCCATTGACTGTTCTTCATAAGCAGCATCTCTCCCTTACATGGTATTATGTTGAAGCAGTTCCTCCTTCCTTCTCCGGCCCAGCATGGAGCATGGCCCTTGGGAAACACCATGTGATTTAGGCCTTGATCTCTTTGCATGTTTTTCAGTGAAACAGACTCTCCTGTCTCTTGGAACAGCCCCACGACCAACAGTGTTCCCTCTATTTGACTTTCCAGGGGTCTGTGACCTTCGAGGATGTAGCTGTGACTTTCACCCAGGAGGAGTGGGGACAACTGGACCCAGCTCAGAGGACCTTGTACCAGGAGGTGATGCTGGAAAACTGTGGGCTCCTGGTCTCACTGGGTAAGGCCTTCCACCTCCAGCATGCAGCGGACCTGCTGCCTCCTTCACTCCACCCTGGCTGCTCCAGAAGCCTCTGGATCCAGCTTCTTCCCAGGGCTTCAGTCATTTACTAGACTCACCTCTTCCTGTCTGGTGTCCCGTGTCTCTCTGGGCAGTGGAAGTAGGGCCCTTGGGCTCCCAGGGTGCTGTGGAGAAGGCGACAGTGGAAGGAATGGGGAGGCTTTCAGGACCCAAGGTGAGGTTTCGAGGGAGAACCTGAAGACCACCACAATTTCTCCTGGCTCCTGCCACCATATCCAAACAAGGGCCTTTTCTTCCTGAGCCAGTTTGCAGCATGAGTGGCCTTCTGGTCCTTGCTGTGTGTGACCACCAGATTCCTGGTCCTATTGTCTGCATGTTTGTATTTTTCCTTATTTGCTGCTGGCTTTTGTGGGACACCCTTGAGGCAGCAAATGGCAACCATGAGCCATCCTTCCCTCAGCCTCTCACTCGGTGCCCAGCGTAGATTGGCCCCAGTCTGTGGTTCTTTTTTATGCCATCTTTCAGTGGGGAGTCTGACTTAGGAGCAGGGTTGGATCAGGTGTCCCCAGTAGCCCAGTGTGCAGGGTGGTGTGGAATGCGATCTTTGCTGGGAAGGGGTTTGATAGAATTAGATACATAAATTCTTAACAATAAGGAGTCCTCTCTAACCCAGCCGACCTTCGCTCACCTTTGGTGCTCCGGCCCAGACTCCCCACACTCCAGTCTTTGCAACTTCCTGCCCTTCCTCCCCTGCCCTCCTGCCTGCCGCAGGACAGCACTTGCAGTTTTCTCCTTGTCCTGTGGTGTGCTCAGGGTGATGCAGCGTTGCTCACCAGAGCCTTCCTGAACACAGTCTCCAGGAGGCCCCGCCCCCATCACATGCTGCTTCTCCCATCTCCCTGTATTTATTTCTCTCCTCCTAAGCCAGAGGTTCTCAAGTGGGGAGCCCTTCCGCACACATGGGGTGATGTGGGAAAATGTTCTTGGTTTTTACGTTGGGTTGGGGGTATTACTGGCATTTAGTGGGTGGAGACCTGGGTGCTGCTGAGCGTCCTTGTAATGCACAGGACAGATCACCACTGCACACGGGACCTAAAAATCAGTTGGCGGAGGTTGGACCTGTATGAGAGGAAGCACAGACACCCCCTCACCTGGCATCAAGAGACCCCTGGAGAAGCCATTCTTGAGGACTAATCTGGTCTGGAGACATGCCCTGGACAAGCAGTTCCTTGAGCACCTGTTTCCTGCCACTGAGATTTGTTGAATGAAAAGTCTGGGTTTAGAGCTGAATCTCAGTCCAGCCCCTTTCCCTGACATTTGCTGATCCCCTTTCACCAGAGGGGGAAAGTACAGAGGTGGGACTCAGGTGGAAGGTCATAGGGTCGTTGTCGGCACTGCCCTTGGAAAAGATTAATCTGCGTTAATTTGCCTGAGTTGGATGTGAAATCTCCAAAACCGTGTGCTAAGTAGACCTCTGTTGTTTTCATTGCCAAGAGTTAAGCATTAGATGAGGAAAGGAAAACTGACTAATACACATACCTTTGCTTTGAGTGGAGAGAGATCTTAGATGTCTGTTTTCCCCTAAATTACTGCTTAAATATTGTTCAGGTTTGAGCTGACCCAGTGCATTCAACCTGCTTGCCTAGTCCTGTGGACGTGGTTAGCCCCGATATGTGCCAGCTTCTGAGTGCATACTGGGGCACAGTGGTCATCCAGTGTGGATGGCCAGCCTTGTGCCAGGTCACATGTCAGTTTTCTGTTTGTTCCGGTGGGAGAGGCTTCATCCTAAGGACCGGCTGCTGGGCTTGAGGCCTGAAGGAGATGGAGGGTGTTTACTGCTTTTCACAAAATCCATGTTTCTCCCTTTTTTTTTTTTTTTTCTTTTGTCCCTGAATAGGGTATCCTGTTCCCAAACCTGAGCTGATCTTCCAGCTGGAGCACGGGCAGCAGTTGTGGACAGTGATGATAGACCTCTTTCAGAGCACCTGTCCAGGTAGGAGCCATGACCTTGGCTAGTGGAGGCCCCGCAGGCTTGAGGCAGGGAAGACACTGGCCTTGGTATCTCTTGGGAAGCATCGTACTGTGGCCTCTGGATTTTGTAGCCATGTTGCCCTTTGACCTGTACTCCTCTGGTCAGCCAAACCCATCAGCTTGTTCCAGGTCCTGGGAAAGAGTGAGGTTGGTGAGCTAACACCTGGCCAGGGCTCCAACTGTGTGGTCATGAAACCTGGCTTGGCCATCATTAGCTCTGAGGCCCTACCTGGCAAGGTCAAAGACTCTCTGGTTTGTACATGAGGGTGATTGAGTTGGTACAAGGCTCAGCGGCTCAGCATGTGTAGCTGTGATTTTCACTGTCCCCAGGTCTGCGTGGGGCATGGGGAGCTCTACAGGTTCTTTCTCTCATCAGCCTGTTGTCTTATGGTTTTTCCACTATTCCCCCTTCCAGGGACACCAGTCCCCTCATGTTCCATCCTAGGGAACTAGGCATTGGCCACAGTTGGGTCCGTGTGCTGGGATAAGTGGCTGGGCTGTGTGTTCAGGGAGAACTGATGGTGTGATTGACATTTCAGTCCAGTCCCTTCGGGTAGTCCTCAAATGTGCAGTCACTGTAGTCTCAGGCGTTGGGTTGTATCTGGAAAGATTTGTCACCTGCTGCATGAACACAGAACAGCAGCGTCCAAGTATAGCAAAGGGCTCCTTGAAAGTAAGCTTTATTGTTCATCTCATGTTAGTCGAGCCAATGAGAATGCCTCATATTTCCTCCGAAGCCTGAGGAAGGGGGCTTTTCTCTGCCAATTTTCTTCTCCAGCTGTGTTCTGCCTGTCCTCCTTGCCACCTCGCCTTCCACTGGACCTGAGTGTCAGACACCAGCAGACACTGCCCCTGTCTTCCTGCTTCTCCTGCTTTGTCAAGGAGACTTGGCTGGCTGTGTTCCACATTTGGGCTTTTGAGGCACTGTTGCCATCTGTGGGTTGGCTGGTGCCATGGCAGAGTCATGGTCTGTGCCCTCTGTTTGTCCCTTGGCCTGCTGAGTCAGCACGGGGGTCCTTGTGCAGTGTCCCCTCAGCCCCTCAGAGTCACCTTCTCCCCTGTTGGCCTTGGCCTTCCACTTGTGTATCTGAAGAGCCTAAGAATGAAAGCTTGGTCTTGCTCACTTCACTTCCCAAGCGCCAGTGACCGTTCTGCCACCCACGCAGGTTAGACTGCAGGGTGTCTCCCTCGGTCCTGACCTCAGCCGTCCAGACAGTTGCCGTTTGCCAGGCATAAGTTTCCGGCATAGGTCGCTGCCGTGTCGGCACATGTTCAGGTTGGAGATGCCGCGTCCCTCTCAGTACTGCTGGACTTTCAGCCCACACACATGCGTCTCAGGCTCTGTGGCTTCTCTTCTCCTGATGGACGAGCTCCTGCCCTGGCCATAGCCAGTTCCTGTGCTCACAGCTTTCCGTGGATATTCTTCTATGCCTTTTTTTTCCTTATAATTTTCTATTTCATTCTTTCTCCAAATAAAAATATGTTATTCAAGTTCCTTATATTTGAAAATTAAACAAATGTTCGTAATTTACATTATATTCATACGTTCATTCCTTTTCTGTGTATTTAATTGTTTACATGTTTTTATGCTCCTAAGCAGTAAAGCTGTAAGTGTTCCAATTTATTGATCATCTTCACATGTGTAGGGGCATTTTTAATAATGAATCTAGGATTAAAATGATTGGATTTGAGACCACAGTCATTGAAGTTTGTGGGATCATTCTTTTTACTTTTTGGCACCGGGGATTAAACCCAGGGGCACTTTGCCACTGAACCACATTCTCAGCCCTTTCTTTTATTTTTTATTTTGGTCTAACCAAATTGCTTAGGGTCTTGCTAAGTTGCTGAGGCTAGCCTTGAACTTGTGATCCTCCTGCCTCAGTCTCCTGAGCTGCTGGGATTACAGGTGTGCACCCTACACCCAGGTGTATGATCATTTTTACTGTTTATAAAGGACCTATACCAATTTGCTCTTCGGGAAAAAATGGTGGATTCTATCAACATATTTCCTGTCCAGTATTTCATAAGCAAATTGCTCAATTTTTGCCATTAAGTTGGCACAAAATAATGATATATAATTCTTCCATGGATAAATTTTAGTTTGTTTTTCTCTTTTTGTTTATAGGGATTCTTTGTTCCTGGTCATACTTACTGTTTATCAATTGTATAAGCTACAAATATATTTTTGTAGTTATATTTCTCTTTTTGTGGCTCTCTTTAATGTGTCTTTGATTTCATATAGGTTTTATTTATTTATTTATTTATTTTTGGTTCCAGAGATTGAACCCAGAGGTGATTAATCACTGAGCCACACCCCCAGCCCGTTTTTAATTTTCATTTTGAGACAGGGTCTCATTAAGTTGCTTAGGGCTTCATGGGGCTGGCTTTGAATTTGCCATACTCTTGCCTCAGCCTCCCAAGACACTGGGATTATAGGCATGTGCAGCCATGCCTGGCCAAGGTCTTCATTTCAATAAAGTCTAACTCATGGCTTTCTGTATAGGACTAATCACTTTGTCTTATGTAAAACATGTTTTATCCTGATGTAATCATTCACTACTTAGGTTTTGCTGATCTTAGTTTGGTTCAGAACATACTGTGAGATATTAGTGCTTTCACTGTCAGTTCCCATGGGGATAGATAATTTTAGTGCTCTGTTCAGGGAACAGCTCTCCTCCTCACATTGAGCTGCCGTGCTTTCTTCTCCATCCACCAGACCTCCATATGTGTAAATGGGTCTCTGAGCTTTTGTTCTTTCTTCATTGCTAGTCTCATTGTCTTTGTGCCAGTCCCTCGTGGATTTGGGGAGAGTCATCAGTTTATATTAATTCTTTGTTGATGTAGACCTCAGTGTCTTTATATGCAGTGTTAAAATTTTCTCCATCAAAGGGCCCAATAAAATCTTCTTTCTCTTAAGTTGTTATTGTTGGGTGTTTTGGCCACAATGGCCAAATAGCTAACTGTAACACATAGCAGTATGTGCCTGGGTGTTGGTAACCCAGGAAACTGACCAGAGCCTGCGTGCCCAGGTTTTCATTGACACTTACTGACTAAGCTCAGTTGATGGAATCACCCACCATGTGGCTCAGTCTCCTGCTTCTCTCAACTGAGGTCCAGCTTACATGTTGTGTCTTAAGCCCTCCATCAGACATGTTTTGTCTTTCTGGTGTGGACAGATCTTTCCCTAAGTCATCTCTTTAGGATAAATTGTTTAGGGGTCCAGATTGAGTTAACTGTTTGCGTAAACTGTCACTTGTAATCCTGGAAGCCCACCATGATTTGAAACAGGAATTCTAGAAATGCCTAGTGTTTGAGGTTTTATGTTGATCAAATACCAGACATGATTTTTTGCTGTGATTTCTCATCACACACTTCCTGTCTTCTACGTGGGCCATGTTCCTTGCGCTTTCCTGGTGTCCCTGGAACAACACAGGATGGCGTTGGTTAGAGGAAGCTTACCCCACACGGTTTCCCTAGCCATGTGCAGGCTGCAGTTGTAGGGCCTCTCCCCCATGTGGATCATCTGGTGCTGCAGGAGATGCCTGCTCTTGATGAAGGTCTTCCCACACTCTATGCACTCCACTGCAGACCCTCTGTGTGCTGACTGACCTCTCCCCAGGTCTCCCTTTCAAGGTGTTTGGGGTCTAAGGGCCAGGAAGAAAGATGTTCAAACCTAAGGTTCAGAGGTAACAGAGTGGACAGAGAGGCTGTGTTTTGAGTTCCATGTTTTCACTGAAGTGAGGATCTTGTCCTTCTGTGTTGTTATTAACAGGCCCTGTTGTGTGTTGAATTTTCTTTCAGGTGACAGTGGAAAACCTCAGGCCACCGAACCTACTGCTTGTGAGCCAGCCTTGTCTGAGGGTGCCTCACTCCAGGGACTGTTAACACAAGGGGCCTCAGGGTGCTCCCAGGTGGTGGCAGCCAGAGGTCAGGATGGGCCATCAGCAGTGCAGGAAGGACTCTTGAGACCAGGTGTAGAGCTGCAGGAGAAGCTTCCTGGGAAAAGTATCCCTAGACCTGGTGGTTCAGGGGCAGCCAAGGACACACATTCAAGGATGGTACAGGAAGAGGAGGAAAACATCTTCAAATGCAGTGAATGTGGGAAGGTGTTTAACAAGAAACACCTTCTTGCTGGACATGAGAAAATCCACTCTGGAGTGAAGCCCTACGAGTGCACGGAGTGTGGGAAGACCTTCATCAAGAGCACGCACCTCCTGCAGCACCAGATGATCCACACGGGAGAGAGGCCCTACGAGTGCACAGAGTGTGGGAAGGCGTTCAACCGCAGGTCCTACCTCACCCAGCACCAGCGCATCCACAGTGGGGAGAAGCCCTACAAGTGCAGCGAGTGTGGGAAGGCCTTCACCCACCGCTCCAATTTTGTCTTGCACAGCAGGAGACACACTGGAGAGAAGTCCTTTGTGTGCACTGAGTGTGGGCAGGTCTTCCGGCACAGGGGAGGTTTCCTCAGGCACTATGTGGTCCATGGTGGGGAGAACCCCTATGAGTGTTTTGAGTGTGGCCAGGTCTTCAAGCACAGGTCCTACCTCCTGTGGCACCAGCAGACTCACACGGGCAAGGAGCCCTACGAGTGCAGCGAGTGTGGGAAGGCCTTCCTGGAGAGCGCGGCCCTGATCCACCACTACGTCATCCACACCGGGGAGAAGCCCTTCGAGTGCCTCGAGTGTGGGAAGGCCTTCAACCACAGGTCCTACCTCAAGAGGCACCAGCGCATCCACACCGGGGAGAAGCCCTTCGTGTGCAGTGAGTGTGGGAAGGCCTTCACCCACTGCTCTACGTACATTTTACATAAAAGGGCCCACACTGGAGAAAAACCCTTTGAGTGCAAAGAATGTGGGAAAGCCTTTAGCAATCGAAAAGACCTCATTCGCCACTTCAGCATCCACACTGGGGAGAAGCCCTACGAGTGTGTGCAGTGTGGGAAGGCCTTTGCCCGCATGTCAGGCCTCACGAGGCACAAGCGGATTCACAGTGGGGAGAAGCCCTATGAATGCATCGAGTGTGGGAAATCCTTCTGCTGGAGCACAAACCTCATCCGGCATGCCATCATCCACACTGGAGAGAAGCCCTATAAGTGCAGCGAGTGCGGAAAGGCCTTCAGCCGCAGCTCATCCCTCACCCAGCACCAGAGGATGCACCGTGGGAGAAACGCTGTCAGCGCAGCAGAGGAGGGGCCCCCTTTCCCAAGTGCTCACGCCTCCGTCACCCTCCGAGAACTCCTTATGGGAAAGGACTTTTTGAATGTAACCACCAAGAGAAATCTACTGCCAGAGGAAACATCGTCCTCAGCCTGTGATCGTTCATACCAAAGAGAAACCCCTCAGGTGTCTTCACTGTGAGGAATGTCATGTGTCACCTGAAGACTCAGTTGGAAATGGGTTGAGAGTTCATCCAGGAGAGACCTAGTGGTTTCAAGCACACAGGACGATCTTCAGCTGCGCCTTCCTCCTCGTTTACGGTGCAGTGTTATCTCAGGAACTGTTTCTAAAAGGAGGGATGTAGAAGAAGATGAAATGCAAACACAGGTGTTTTCAGAATTTTCTACTAAGCTGTGGCACTTTATCATTAATTTCTTAGATTATCTGGGGCAAGCGGTGTGTAGTTTCAGAGGTAAAAGGCCTTGACTTTTTGTGTGTGTCTTATTGGTATTGAATATCAGGAAAGTTAGTTGGGGGAGTCTGGAAATGTCATTGTATGCCTTCTGTGTTCCGTGGTGTTTCTGTACTCCTGAGGACCATGGCTTTATGAGAAATGAGGGGCTTGAGCCATGAAGTGCTGTGTATTTAAGGCAATAAGAACTCACGAGTGAGGGGGCTGGGCTGGGGCTCAGTGGTAGAGCGCTTGCCTGGCACATGTGAGGCACTGGGTTCGTAGCACCACATAAGTGCTTAAGTAAGTAAAATAAAGGAATGTGTCTATCATCTACAACTAAAAAATATTTTTAAAAAAGAATTCATATATGAAGCTGGGCTGGTGGTGCATGCCTGTCCCAGCAGCTCAGGAAGCCGAGGCAGGAGGATTGCGAGTTCAAAGCCTACCTCAGCAAAAGCGAGGTGCTACGCAACTCAGTGAGACCCTGTCTCTAAATAAAATACAAAATAGGGCTGGAAATGTGGTTCAGTGGTCGAGTGCCCCTCAGTTTAATCCCTGGTACCCCACCACCACCAAAAAAGAAAAAAAAGAATTCACATACTAATGGACTGTGGTACCAGCTAAGACTATTTAAGGGCTGACGGTTTTGTAAAAACGACAAACCCTTTTTCACATAGTTTTTCAATTTATCTTGGAGGGTTTGGTTCTGGAGATCGATCCCAGGGCTCCCACGTGCTAGGCAAGTGCTCTGTCATGGAGCTATACCAGATCCCTTTTTCTTTTCCTTCCTTCCTTCCTTCCTTTAAGTTTTGTATCATCAGGGTCTTGCTGAGTTACCCAGGGTGGCCTTCAACTTGTGGTCCTCCTGAATCTCAGGAGCAGGGATTATTGACATGTGCCATTTCTCCTGATTCTTTCTGTAGTTTTAAAAACCTAACTTGTGGACATTTTCTTGGTTTCTGTGTATTGATTGTTACAGCTGTATGATAGTTCTTCAAACTGCGTAAAGTGATTTCTCTCTATTATTTAAAACTGATTTAGCATTTCTAGTTCCTTTAACTTTTTCCATATTTGTTTTAGGATAAGTTTGTCAATATTACCAAAAAAGTCTTGGTAGACTTTTCATAGAAATTAAATCCGATGATCAGTTTATTGAGAATCCATCCATCTGGTGTGTTGGGTCTTTCAGTTCATGAATATAGTGTGTGTCTATTTAAGATCTCCACATTTACTTCATGAGTGTTTTATAACTTTTAGCATTTATAAACCCTGCACATTTTTGTTAGGGCTCATATCTAGGGCTTTTTGTTCATGTTTGGTTGTTTTAATGTCTGTGTGGTGTTGCTGTGAATTTTCAGTTTTCACATGACATTTGAGAATATGCAGAATGATGATGTCCTTGTGCACTGTTTTGCCATTGTGCAACCTTGCTTAACTAATTATTTCTAGCTCATTTTTTTCACAGAATCTTAGGGATTTCCCACCTAATAGTGTTCTCTGCAAGTCACTCTATTTCTTCCTCCTGATGTCAGTAGCATGTTTGCTACTTTTGTGTGGTTAGGGCATAAGCGAGGGTTTCTCACATGAGGAATGAAAGCCATCCTTGCCTGGTCCTTCAGACCAGAGCAGAAACATTGAGTTTCCCTTGTTACGTACACACGTTGCTTATCGTTGCTGTGGAGAGACAGGCTGTTGTGATTGCCAGGGCCTTGCATGCTAGGCACACTCCCCACCATTAGGCTGTATCCTCAGACACACAAAATGTCCCTCTGTTCCCAGTGTTCTGAGGTTTCGTCATTATGAATTTTGTCAAATGCCTTTTTTATATCAAATGATAGGATCGTGTGATGTTTCTTCTATATCTTATTGATATAATGTATTACATTGACAAGAATTTGGAATATTGAGCCAGGCACAGTGTGTACGCCTATAATCATCAGCAACGCAGGAAGCTAAGGCACAAGGATCAAAAGTAAGAGTTTGAATATTGAACCAGCCTGCATTCTCAGAATAAACCACTGTTTGTGGAGTGTAATTCTTTTATATATGTATTTTTAGTTGCTGATGAACCTTTTATTTATTCACTTATTTTTATGTGGTGCTGAGAATGAAACCCAGCATCTCACATATGCTAGGCAAGCACTCTACCACTGAGCCACAACCCCAGCCCTATAATTCTTTTTATATGTCATATGACATCATTCCATTTTTTTGTAATTTGGTGAGGAAGTTTTTCTCTATTTTTTCATGTCCCTCTTCTAATTTTTTGAGTGATAATGACATATATATGTATGTGTGTATGTGTGTGTGTGTGTGTGTGTATTACTCCCCCACCCCCACAGTACTGGGGGTTGAACCCAGGGACACTCTGTTACTTAGCTAATCCTTGTTTTTTGTATTGTTTTGGTTTTGTAAAGACAGGGTCTGGCCAAGTTGCCCTGGCTGGCCTTGAACTTGGGATCATCCTGCCTCAGCCTCCTGAATAGCTGGGATAACAGTTGTGCGCCACTGTGCCTGGCTGGCGTGTACTGGACTGTATGTTTAATTAGTGTCATTTATTCTTGTGATGGTTGATAGCATTCTGTAGTAAACTGTTGTGCTAAGATTTCTTTTTTTTTAGGCTCTTAGGTTACTTGTTTATTTTATTAGGTATAAAAGTACTCAAAGCACTTCATGGGAGATAAGTTTTGATTTTTTTTTTTTTTTTTTTTTTTTTTTGTGGTGCTGGTATCTGAACCTAGAGGCTTGCCCATGCTAGGCATGTGCTTTACCACTGAGCTATATCTGTTTCATGTAAGTTTTCTAATTTATTTCTCTTACTGTTGCAAGTATTTCCTTACTACCCTTTTGCTGACTGCAGGAATAGGTTGCCCTTGCTCTTAAGCCATCCTCCTGCTTCCGCTTCCCACAGGACGCTGGGATTACAGGTGGGACCACTGGGCCATCTTCTGTTCTCTTTTGATCTTCATCAGTCTTAGATAATCTATCATTTATCTTAGACACAGAGCACATGTGTCTTCTTGGTCATTTCAAATTAATCAGCACTTTGGGTTGTTGATTTTTTTTTCTTTTTCCTGTTTCTGTTAATTCACTCGTTTCTGCTCTGATGTGCATTATTATATCTTTTCTTCTATTTGGTTTCCTTGTGTTGGCTCTTAGCAGTTTTCTTATGTGGGAGTGATTATTGACTTGAGGCTTTTCAGTTTTCCAATGTGAGCAGTTAATTCTGTAAATTTCCCTCATAGAACTATTATTTCATTCAATACTGAAATTTCTTTTTTCATTTCTGTGTGTGTGTGTGTGTATGTGTGTGTGTGTGTGTGTTGCTTATGGAGGCCAGACCCTCATGTGGGGCAAGTGTTATCCTACTGGGCCACACCCCCAGCCCCTCAATTCTGAACTTTCTTGATTCCTTTTGAGACTTAGTCTCTGATTCATAATTATTTAGAAGTATGCTGTTTAATTTCCTAGTATTTCACATATTTCCTGCTGTTACTGATTTCTGATTGTTTTACATTTGACCTGGGTTTTGTTGTTGTTGTTTGTTTGTTTTGTTTTGTTTTCATTTGTATGAACCAGCACACGGTCCATCCTGTTAGGTGTGCTGCCTGAGATGAGCCTGTGTTCTGCTTCCCTTGGCTAGAGTGTCTGTACATGTCTGCTTGTCCTGTTGATGATGGCATTCAGATATTCTGTGTCTTAGCTGATTTTCTGACTAGTATTTGTTTTGTGTTTTAAATCTTTGTCCAGTGTAGTTTTCTTTGTAAAACTTTATTGAGGATTTTAAGTCAGATATCCAATGTAAGATAGCTTGAATTGTTTCAGCTTGTCTTTGTTTAAACCTCTGGTTGACCTTCACCTACTCTGGCCTTTCACAGGGCCCTGGATTTGACATTTTCCATCTTGACATCGCTTCCAGGACCTCCTTCCAAGACCTCCAGTCTTGCAGGGACTTTTGTGGAGTTCAGCTTCCAGGTCAGGCCCTCGAACCTCAGGGCTCCGTCCCCTCTTTCCTGGCCTGGTGTGACGTCTTGCCTCTCAGATGGCGGCTGCCCTTGTTGGAGTTGCTCACCGCTGCAGTGCTGGGAGGTCCCAGGCCCAGCTGGGGAGAAGACCCTCATTCCTCTGCTTTTCCTCTAGATTTAGATCGTTGTCCCTCTCATATTTCACATGAACGAGTCTCAGAAAGGAGAACTTGTGTCGCATTTCTATCAGTTGCTGAGAGAGCCCTGTTGATGTCTTGAACTGTAATTGGGGGATTGTGTATTCTGCATTAGATTTCTGTCCCTGGGTCAGAATGTGTGAGATGATCTGAAAGGAGGGAGGTTTCTCTAGCTCATGGTCTTGAAGTCTCGGTCCATGGTTGCTTGGCTCTTGTTTGGGGCCTCTGGTGCGGGAATGCCTCACGGCAGAGAGCCTGTGGTAGAACAGAGCTGCTCACCCCGGCAGACAGCATGCAGAGGGAGGAGGGGTGCCCTGGGACCCCACGTCCCCTCTGTAGGTCCGCCTCCTTGGGGTCTGTCACTTTGCAGTGGCACTTGGGCCCGAGGAGGACAGGAAGACTTTTCCTCCCTTAAATTCCGTCAGGGTTTATATCACATAGCTCAGTGCTCTGTGGCTTGGCACATATGTTGAAGACCGCTGTCATCATTTATTGACCCTTTACCACTGGGTAATGTCCTTTTATGCCACTGTGAGTTTTCTTGGCTGACTTCTGTTTAGTCTCTTTAATCTTGATTTAATCTGTTTTGTGTCATCATTACTGTAATTTTTTTAATGTTTGTTTAGTTTACATTTTATTTGGATTTTTTAGCCATGTCTGTCATTTGAAGTGAGCTTTTTATGAACAGTATACGCTTGCATCATGCTTTTTTATTTATTTTGGATATTTCTGACAATTTGTATATTTAGACAATTTAAAATAACTACTGATGTTAATGCTTTTATCTGCCATTTTAATTTGTTTGTGTTCCCTATTTATTGTCCTTTCTTTTTTATTGTTTTTCTTGGTGGAGGGTGGGTTCTCTTTTCTTGTAGGTTAGTGTATTTTTTTTAGGCGATGTAAGGTATTTGAATGTGTGTATTTAATTTGCCACAATTTCATGGTATTCGCAGTTTACATTCTGTATAGCCCCTGTCGTTGCCTGTTAGGTTTTCTTTGTTTCTCTTCGGATGCTCAGCGCCATATTGGGAGATGTGCTTTCTGACTTGGCGGTCAGACGTGCCCGACAGGCGTGAGAGTGTTCCTGCCCCTGCTACCCAGGCTGTTGGTTTTTCTCCAGATCCCAGGTGGTCTTCCCTTCTGTTTGGTGAGTGTCCTGGGCTTTTTTTCTGGGGTAGTTCTGCTAGTGACTGCTAGTTTTCTTCGTGTTTTTCTGTTTCTGAGGGACGTTTTTGTGAGAGAGAGGATCTGGGCTCCACAGGCCTGGCCCTGGGTAAGCCTGTCCGTTCCTCTGTCCACTTTGGTTTTTTCCTTTCTTTTTTCTCTTCTGATTGTTCACTGTGGCTTCAGATAAGGAGTCCCCTTCCGTGTAGACCATTATTTTATTGCAGGTTGTCATTTCTGTCAAGCTGGGTTCAAATGTTGTTCCTTGTCTGTGGGGTTCGGAAGTTTGATCGCGTGTGTGATGTGGAATGTTTGGAGTTGCTTTGTGGCTTGTGATTAGTACCGCTGGTCACCAGAGCTCCTGACCAGATACCACTGCAGTTCTGAGGTAGTCCTGTAGTGAAAGATGACCAGGACCAGAGTGGGACGTTGTCAAGTTCATCTCCCAAATAGGAATCTGGTTGTCCAACATTGATTCCCAGATCCCGCATCTAAATGTCTTAGCAGAGATGGGACAGCAGTGGAAAGAAATGACCTAAAGGAACTCTGGGAGAAAGAAAAAACTATTGTAGATGTTAGTTTGAAAAACCATGGATGACCCAGAATTCCATAATAGGGCTTATATCAGGTGAAGGGTAGGAGGCAAGGGAGATGTCGTATTTGCTTGGAGCAAAGACTAAGAGTAACATGATAGGGTTAGGACAGGACAGGATGGAAGTTGGCTAGGCAGACGGACTTTCTATACAGGCACCCATCTATACAGGACTGTTGGCCGCGGTACTCATGCAGTAGAGAAAAGGGACTCTGCCCACCCACAAGGTGCTGCTCCAGGGAAGCAACTCCTCAGGGATCCTCAGGGGTCCTAGGGCCACACAGGAGTGTGGATACACAGGAGATGGAAGTGTGTCACGAGCCAGTGCGTCCCAGCTGGGGTCCTTTAGGATTGAGTCCTTCAAAGAGCAACTGGAAGTACAGACTCTAGCTAAAGAACGTGGGTAAGTTCAGCATAGTGGTGCCTGCCTGTAATCCCAGTGGCTCAGGAGGCTCAGTCAGGAGGATCGTGAGTTCAAAGCCAGCCTCAGCAACTTGGTGAGACCCTGTCTCTAAATAAAATATAAAATAAAAAAGGGCTTTGGATGTGGCTCAGTGGTTAAGCACCTCTGGGTTCCATCCTCAGTACAAAAAAGAGACATGGATAAATGTCATGATATTAATCAAATTATACTTTTATGGACGTTCAAGTAGGCCACAGTGATGACCACCGATCTCTAAAATGTGCTAATTTAGAGAAGAGAACACCTGTGAGAAGTGAAGGTGTGAACCTGCAGCTGGTGGGCCTCAGAATGAGGACTTCTGTGCCTGGAAACCCTCAGCTCCCTTCGACCACTCTTCCAAGTAGAATCTTAATGTCATTTAAGCCCTCTATGAGGCACTTGTCGTCCTTCATCCAGGTCGTGGTCCTCCAGCTGTGTTGTGGAACACTGAGTGTTCGAGGGGTCCATGAGATGGAGGGGTAAACACTTTCACCCACCCCAAACAACGCTGCCCTGGGGGAGAGTTTAGAAATAAGAAATCAGTGGACGCACCAAGAAAGCACCCTGCGTGCAGGTCATCCTGTGGTGCGGTCTGAACTCGGAACCTCATGGTGATTTCAAGCTGGAGGAAACAAGGCTTGATCCAAGCCCACCCTTCTGAGGACCTCCACAGGCTGCTGCAGAAGGGGTGCTGGCCGCTGTGTCGTGAAGAGCCCCAGGGCATGCTCCCATTGGGTCAGACTGTCTCGGTGTCTGTTCTCTCTGCTGGAAGGCTCATTCCCAGAGCTGGGCTTGCCAGGTTGGTTCTGAGGTCCCAGATCTGGGGAGATCAGGGAGGTGGTCTTTGAGGACCCGCCAGCCCTTTCTGTCACTGTGCCACAGTCTTTGGAAGAAGCTGCTGTCATTCCACGTGTTGTGGTCACTCACTTTGATCCAACTGTCTTCTTGCTTGACCAAGGCAAAAGTCTTAGGGAAAATCGGGTCCTCTGGGTCAGGTCCACCTCCAGTTTCTGTTCCTGGCCTGCGGTGCTGGCCAGCCACCTGCGTAGGGCCTGGTAACTGGGTGCTTTCCCCACAGTCCAGTGAGCTCAGCTCTGCGGCCTCATCCAAGGTCTGGGCTGCCCTGTCTGCCCTCGGAACGTGACGTTTCCTTCACCTTCTTTCTCTCACAGGCTCGGCCCCTGTAGCGGTCTGTGGCCTACTTGTCCCCATGCCCTCACGCTCCCTTCACTCTGGGCACCTTCACCTGACTTGAGGCTCCCAAGTGCTCTTTGTCCCCTTCTCTGTTGCGTCTTTGCAGTGCTGGCCCCGCCTGGGCCTCGGTCCTCTCCTGCCTCAGTGTCTTCCCTTGCGCTCCAGGGCTCTGCAGCCTGCCCGGGCCCTGTTTCCAGGTGGGCTGGTCGTGCCTGCGTGCCTCTTGTGGGCCGAGTGCTGTGCGCACCTCAGCTCTTGCCTCTCGACCACCACTCTGGCACGTTTCCTGGCCAGGACCATTAGGCACAGAGAGTGGAGGTGGCCAGGGCTACACAGACAGGCAGCTGGAGTCTGGGGACTGGAGGCCACTTAATGTGCTGCAGGCTCCCAGCCCTGCCCGTTTCCTGGGTCTCCACTCGTGGGGAGGGTCTTTGTTCTTCTAGTCACTGTTCTGTGGGGGGGTTTTGGTGGTTTTTTGTTTTTTGTTTTCCTGGCAGAAGGGATTGAACCCAAGGGTGGTGATTAAACACTGCCACATCCTCAGTCCCCACCCCCCCCTCCTTTTTTTTAATATAGATACAGGTCTCACTGAGCTGCTTAGGGCCTTGCTAAGGTGCCGAGGCTGGCTTTGAACTCGAGATCCTCCTGCCTCAGTTTCCTGAGCTGCTGGGGTGACAGGCGTGGCCACTGTGCCATTTCTGTCTTTAACATGCCACTCACTCATCTGGAGCCGGCTGTTCCTGTTTGATGGTGTATTTGGGCCATCTCTTCAGGTTGGGTGAGGTCAACCAGATTCGGTCTTTGTGGTGGCATTGTCTGTCATAAGTGGAAATAGAGGTGTGGGAGGGAGGGGGTCGAGAAGCCATGACGGGTCCAGACCAGGTGTGCTGTTTGGAGTGAAGACCTCTCTGAGCTCCCAGCTTCAGCCCCATTGCCACACCGGGCGCACTGCGCCCCTCCCCTCCCTCAGTGTCCCACATCCTGCCCCTGCCCCTGCCGTTCAGGTGTGTTTGGTGCCGGCCACATGCACAGCAGCTTGTGTTTAGGAATTTTGTCCTTCAAAGTGTCACCATGTGTGACAGGTTGACCTTGAGGCATACCAGCAGGGACAGGAAGTACACAGTTGTAGAGGTCGTGATGAATGACAGTGGGAGTACTGGAAGATCACCTCTAGGTTATTGATCTTGGAAAGACCCAGGACTCAGGATTCTGTCACACTCGCAGCTGTGACTTATCACAGCCAGAGGAAACATAGCAAACCCCACAGAGCAAAGAGCCTCCTGGGGCAATGTCCAGAGAGCCAGAGTGTCCTTCTCGTCCTGCCTCAGTGAGGTCACAGATGGGCCTTGTTGGCACGTCACCTGGGACTGGCCTAGCATGTGAGAAATGTCTCCTAGGAAGCCTGTTGGGAAACCCCTGCCAGGGTGAGTGTTGGGCACACTGTCCTCTGTCCAGCACATACCAGACTCTGGACCTCCCGAAGGGTTCTGGTGTTCATTGTGAGTCCCATGTTTCCACAAAAGACCTGGCCACACAAAGCTGCCTTCTCTGGAGCTGTGGGAAGCCTCCCAACATCTCAGTCCCAAGCTGCCACCAAGGCTCACCCTGTGAGCTGCAGGGTGGTGGTCTCTGGTCCCACTGTGACTTCTCCTCACAGAGACCCAAGTGATACTAAAGCACTTTGTATGTTCGGGTGTCTGTCACTTTAAGCAAGTACTGTTTCCTTCAGTGAAAAATGAAG